TCGCTGGACTCCCATGTAGTAGACCGCGGTTTGCGTCCCGGACCCGGTGGCTTAAGACTCATGCCGGGCACGTGTGCGTGCGTGCCCAAGATCCTGAGAGGAGAATGGAGAAGGGATTGCGGCGTGACCATCCCCCCTGGGGGGTGATTTCTCGCTTTCTGTCTCTATGTCTCTCTCTGTCTGTCTGGCGAACGCACGCGCCCTATAGCGAAAAGAAAAACTCAAAAAAAAAAAGAAAAGAAAAAAAAAAAGCTTTCTTTGCCAATATTGATGTGGTTCTCTCCTTTAATTTCACTAAGGTTTCTGATCAAATGTCACCTTATGGAGGAAGCCTCTCTCCCTTCCCAGGATAAAATTCTAACTCCTTTCCCAACCCTCTTTGCTCTGCTTTATTCTTCTCGTTACTTCTTATCACCGCTAGACTCTACAAAAAAAATTAAGACCCTTGTTCAAAACCTTGACCAGCTGAAGGGCTGGGGTAGGAGGATTATGTCATGATGAGGATTTCTCAAGGGTATTCCTCTCTTTCTTCTCCCTTTCTCTCTTTCTCTCTCATGTACATGCACTCTCTGTCATAAATAAAATCAGCTTTTAAAAAATAGTTAAATACTTGGGACCAGCAGATGACATAATGTTTACATCACTGGACACCCACATGGCTGAACACGTTTCAAGTCTCAGACACAGAGGTTCAAAACTCATGCCAAGCACATGTGTATTCATGCCAAAAATCTCAAGAAGAGAATGGATTGCACTATGGCCATCCCCCCTTGGGGTGATTTCTCACTTTCTGTCTCTGTTTTTCCCTGTCTCTCTGGTGAGCACATGTGCCCTATAGCAAAAAATCTCTCTCAAATCAGTTAAACACATAAAATAACTAAGTAACATTAAAATCCTTTTTTTTCCTCTCTGCAGTCTAAAGACATACACAGACACATTCACACATACATGAGATTCACTGGCAAGAGTTAAACAACTGGAAGACTGTAGCACTCATTTCCTTCCCTTAGCTTAGCACTTCTGAAATACTGAGGGGTATGTCAAATTCCTGTATTATCTAAAAACCAATTAATTGCTCATTTGTGCCTACTCATGCACTGTTCTCATCCACACCGCAGCCACTACTTTGTGCTCCACCTCTCTGGCTCACCCCCCAACTCAGCCCACCCCACTGAGGCATCAGGACCAGAGAGGACGAGACAAGTCAGGAGGACATGGCCATTGACTGAGGGTAGACCTGCCTGCCATCACCTCTGCAACTCACAGGTACCTGAGCTATGTCTACTGCCTGCGAGCATCCCCCCCACCCCCCGCCCCAGAGAGAGGAATCAGATGGAACCATGGGGGGACAAGAGGAAGTCTGCAGGAAGTTCTAGTTTGTAGGGTTTCTATTTGCAAAAATAGACAGAAACCAACTGCCTGAAGCCAGTGAGGCCCTGGAGGATTTACTCCAACCCCTCTTCTTGAGGAGAAAAACTAGAGAAACTCTCATCTACAACTCCAAATCCCAAACTCTCACCATGGATTCCAGCACTCCCATCCACAGAACAAGGAAACAGACACAGATCTAACACACATCATAGAAAAACACAAAACCAAACAGTTTCGGGGGGGGGGGGGGAGAAAAAAACAACAAAACAATTAGACCTTCCACTCCATCCACACCTCAAGTTGACAGGAGAGCTACACCATCCTACAAGGCAACAAGCAGATGGAGCTCTATTTACAATCAAGTTTCCACAGCCCAGAGTATGTGCACTCCCCAGAGAGAGACAGGAAGAGAGAGAGAAAGTGAGAAAGCCAGCCACCAGGTCCAGGACTTGAACCATGATGGGCCATGTGGGAGTTCAGTGTCTTAGCCACCACCTGCTAGCCCCTCCTCAAAATATTTCTAAAGATCCAAAAGGAAGGATACCTTCCAAACACATTCTATGAAGCCTCCAAAAAAAAAAAAAATCAGACAAGGACATAACAAAAAAATACAAACCCATATCCCTGATGAATACAGATGCTAATATCCTCAACAGATAGTAGAAAATAAAATCCAACAGCACATTTAAGAGACTATGTATCATCACCAGGTAGGCTTTACCTAGTAAAGTAAGTATAGTTCAAAATACACACAAAATAAATGCAATACATCACATTAAGATTAAAAAGTATGATCATATAAATTGCTTCATTATCAAATTTATCATTTATCAAGTGATAAAAATACAATCAGCCCATGATTAAGCCTTTCAGCGAATAGGTATAGAAGGCACATTTCTCAACACAATAAAATCCATACGTGACAAGCCCATAGTTAGCACCACACCAAATGAGAAAAATCAGGAAGCTTTCCCACTGATTAGAAGTGCATTATATTTCCTGGATCTGGATACCTGTATGTTTCTTTAGATTTGGAAAATATTCAGATAGCATTTCATGAAAGATATTTCTTATGCCTTTATCCATCTCTTGCCTTCTGGAAAACCAATTATGTGACTATTTGGCTGTTTAATAGTCTAGTTTTCTCTTATGTTGTCCTCATCTTTTTGGGTTAGGGTTTGTTTTTTTTTTCATTCTTTTTGGCAGATAATGGACTGATCAATAACCAGAATATATAGGGAAATCAAGCAGTTCACTCACAAAAAAATGAATAATCCAATTTCAAAAATGGGCAAATGAGCTAGATATTTCACTAAGCAAGACTTACAAATGGCCAAAAATCATATTAAAAAAAGTTCAACATCTCTTACCATAAGAGAAATGCAGATCAAAACCACAATGAAATACCACTTAACCCCAGTCAGACTAACTATAATTAAAAAAAAAAAAAAAAAAAAAAGACAAGTGCTGGTGAGGCTGTGGTGAAAAGAGAACTTTCCTACACTGTTGGGGGGAAGTTAATCAGTGCATCAGTACAACTGCTGCTCAAAAACCTACAAATAGAACTTCCATATGACCCGGCAATCCTACTCCTTGGTATATGCTCAAAGGATACAAAAACATTCAATTGGAAAGATACTTGCACATCCATCACTATAGCATTATTCACAATCGCTAAGACATGGAATCAATTAAATGTCCAACAACTGATCACTGAAATTAAAAAAAAATGGCACATATAAAGTACAGCATACTACTCAGCCATAAAGAATAATGGGATCCTGTTGTTTGATACAAAGTGGATGAATACAGAAGATTTAATGCTAAGTGAAACAAGCCAGACTATGAAAGACAAATATTGTATATTCCCACTGAACATATACTAAAGGTCTGCACTCTGTGGCAGAAATTGAAAGATCCAATGACATAATAGTAGGGAAGGCAAGCATAGATACCAGGGACTGCAGAAGAGAGAAGTAAATTGCAAGAGGCAGTAGAGAGAGGCTCAGGGAAAGAACTTTTTTTTAATTTTTTCATTTCCTTTCATTTCGCTTTCTTCCATACATTCAATCGCATTGTTATTTGTCTCACAAAATGGATATTTCAACAGGTGAACATTTCTCCCTAGTACCGTTGATAAAACTACAAAATATCTTCAACAGATAATACCACACCTCTT